ATACAATAGATATAAATTAGAAAGGTAGTTAGTAGTTACCATATAAAAACAATACTGAGGCCGAATTTAAAGAATTTGAGACGCGGCTCAAATATGGTTGGTTCCACTTAAAATGGTATTCAATGTTTTAAGATTTAAGCCGGCGCTCAATTGAAACCGGTTTTTGGATGATTTGAGACGCGGCTCAAATTAATTGAATTCGTACTCGAGGTATTTAAAGAAATTATATGTTAATCGTATAGTAAACGATAAATAAACGCAAAAACTGCTAAACAAATTCGGCCAACGAAATTATGCAACTTACATACATGAGTATACCCCAGAGAAGGTTCATGGATGCTTGGAATTTCAAAAATTTGTCTCCATTTAATTTTCATGTAATTTAGAAAAACCACGAAAAAAGATATGAAATCCGCGAATTTTTTTGCTATTGTTTCATATTTTACTTGTTGAAGTGCCCGGCGATTCCCGTGGAAAAAAAAATTGAAAAAAAATGTTGATAAAAAAATTTCAAATTCTTTTAGCCTATAACACCCCCCGGCCACCCCTGAGTGTCCACAACAAGTTTCAGCACAATCGGTCCTGCCGTTTGGCCGGCTATAGGCAACATATATATAAATATATATATATATACGAATGTCTTGTTTTATTAGATAGATGAAGAGAATATGCTCACTGATAGTGTCACAATTAAAACTAAAATAGAAGATGGGCGCGAAGTGCCCTAACATCCTAATTAGCTAGGTCTAAAAATGTCTGAACTCAAAGATTTTGAAAACTTTTCATTTTCAAAAATTTCCTTTATATCAGGGTTAGAACTGAAAAGATGTTGTTTAAAAATAAAAACTGCAAAAAAATTATTTTCATGAACAACCTCGTTAATGCAAAAAGTTTGTCTGAATATGATTGACAGGATCGAGGATTACATGATAAGGGCCTGCTAATTACAGGGTGAATTCCAGGTTAAAATTATTTTACAGGGTGTTTCCACTCGAGAACAAATTACAGGGTTACACACAAAGGCTGCCGCTACAGTAGAGACGACTGTACAGAATTTTTTCACAGCTATAGTCTGTAGTTCCTTGCAGCTGTAAACTTCTTTTTTTAATTCCAAATCATTCAGTAAGCCATTGAAAAAAATTCATGGAAGGCTTAGAACGTCTTTGTGAATTCTATAATATTCATGTAAGTTTACAAAGCTATACAGAAACCAATATGTCTCAAGAGATTTAAGATAAATGCATATTTTATTCGAAATCGTTCTCCAGGTTTACAATAAACACAAACATTTTACCCTCTTATGATTTTGTTGTTCCAGATATATTCGTTTTTTTTACTCAACGCATCAATACCTTTTAAACTGTTTAACTAACCAAAGTTTTATTTGGTCTGGGAAAAGAAGAATTCTCAATAGAATGTGTAAAAGATTACATATACCAATAAAGTTTAAACAACCCCTGTTTTATGTATCTAGGATCTTTTATTGCACTCCAATTACTGGACGGGATAGGGGAACAAGAGTAAAATATAAATAACAATTTTTTTGTTTTTTTTTGAACAGTTTAATTTAGCTGATTTTTCCAAAAAGTAATTGTTAAAGAAGTTTGCATGATGTGTATTTACAATGGGTTTCTCTCTATCAAAGGGAAAAATAAAATCCAAAGAATATTTCATTTTAGAAAAAGCAAAGTAAAATGTTTCAATATATATTTTACAAATGAAAAACCTAAGTCTTAATCTTTGATCTCTTTTGAGTTTGGAATCCTGGACTGGCAGGGTCAATCTATTAGTGAGTAGTGAATAGTGACCTTTTTTATCGACTGCCTTTATTGATTAACAACGGCAATTGGCAAACTTTAAACTGTTAACTGATGATGATGGACCAAACCTCTACAGATAAATAGTAAATAAAGTAGATGTTAGTTCCACATTGTATTGAAAATATATTTCGGTCTAGGTTGACCCTCGTCAGAGTTCTTGAGATTGTTTTTTGTCATGAAGACTCAAACAAACTGTTACTTGTAAGCATGGTACGTCCAGTAATAATATCTGTAGATATCTCAGCTATTTTAGAGTTGAGAGCTTATTATCCATTGCCTTTCTAAAAAATTATTCTGACCTGCAATCCCCAGATGAAATAAGTATACTTTTGTATTTTTAAGGTGTCTTAAGAAGTTAAAGTAACAGTCTCTTTGATTTAAAATATTAAAATATAGCATAGCAACAGATGAATATATGAGTTGATTATTGTTTGTTATGCAATAAACAAAATAACAAATCATGTTAAAGTAACAGTCTCTTTGATTTAATATTTTAAGGTACGTAGATAAAAGTTGAGTGCATAAAATATAGCATAGCAACTACTAAATATACAAGTTGATTATATTGTTTATTATGCAATAAACAAAATAACAAATCATGTTAAAGTAACAGTCTCTTTGATTTAATATTTTAAGGTACGTAGATAAAAGTTTAGTGCATGAAATATAGCATAGCAACTGATGAATATACGAGTTGATTATTGTTTGTTATGCAATAAACAAAATAACACATCATGTTAAAGTAACAGTCTCTTTGATTTTAAATATTAAGGTACGTAGATAAAAGTTTAGTGCATAAAATATAGCATAGCAACTACTAAATTTACGAGTTGATTATTGTTTGTTATGCAATAAACAAAATAACAAATCATGTTAAAGTAACAGTCTCTTTGATTTTAAATATTAAGGTACGTAGATAAAAGTTTAGTGCATAAAATATAGCATAGCAACTACTAAATTTACGAGTTGATTATTGTTTGTTATGCAATAAACAAAATAACAAATCATGTTAAAGGAAACTTTTTGTATTTTTAATCTTGTTTAATTTTACTCATACGCCCTTTCAAATTGGACTATTGAAGAGGTAAAAAAATTAAGGAAGAGGGGGGGGGGTACATCTCCTTCTGTCCTATGTAATCTGTAGGTTTGTCTTAATAATTTTTAATGTTTTTATCTTCTTCCTGCGCAGTTCTTTTTTACTTTGAGCAAACAATGATTATGGTGTGAACAAAAACAACTGATCATGAATATCTTGAAAATAAAAGTAATAATTGATTACAGTAATAGTAATACAAAGGATAATAATGATGATGATACTGAAGAAGAAGAAGAAGAAGAAGAAGAAGAAGAAGAAGAAGACGAAGAAGAAGAAGAAGAAGAAGGAGAAGAAGAAGAAGAAGAAGAAGAAGAAGAAGAAGAAGAAGAAGAAGGAGAAAAAGAAGAAGAAGAAGAAGAAGAAGAAGAAGAAGAAGAAGAAGAAGAAGAAGAAGAAGAAGAAGAAGAAGAAGAAGAGGAAGAAGGCAAATTATCTAATATTGAATTTCCTAAATACAGATTGTTTACTGATCATAAGACCATAAAAGGAGCTAATGGTTAGAAGGATGGATAGAGGAAAAGATACAGGGTGAGTGAAAAAAAGGGTGAATAGCGAGATCTAGCATTTTATGGAAGCATTTTTTGTTAATCTCATTTTTAACGTATTAAAATATGTATGAAATTAAAAATGTTTGATAGGCATTCTAGACCCTTTAAAAAAATCCACGAACCTATTTTTTACTTAAAATTAGATGAATAGAAAAACAAAAGTTAGGGTATATAAAATTTCTATCGCACCTTAAAATCTTAAACAAATCAGATGAGTAGTTTTGGAGAAAATGCGCGAAATTAAATTGAGAATTCAACATATTTGATAATACATTTTTGTATGCGTATTTTCCTAATATTATAATTTAGATACTTTACCTTTCTCAAAAATTTACATTATAGAAAGAATTTAAAAAGAATAAGAATCATTAAAATGATTTTTTCAAAAATAAAATTGCGTATTTTCTTAATTTAATTTCGCGCATTTACTCCGAAACTACTGGTCTAATTTGTATAAGATTTTAAAGTGTGATAGAAATAACATATTCCCGCACTTTAGTTTTTCTACTCATTTAGTTTTGAGTAAAAATAGTGTCACGGATTTTTTCAAGGGTCTATCAGATTGCCTATCAAAATTAAAATTAAAATTTCATACATATTTGATAAAAATGAGATTACCAAAAAATACTTTATTATATGCAAGATCCCGCTATTCACCCTTTTTTTGACTCACCCTGTAGATAGATAGATGGATAGATGGATGGACTAAACTGCAGGAGATATTGATTGTTCAATCAATAATCAATCAGTCGATCAAATCTTGAGCTCCATCTTTTTATTTATATTTGTAAATTTGTAGGTGTCGTGGTAGATTTCTTTTAATGGCTTAATCAAAACTAAATTTATCTCTCACATCCCCATGGTCATTTTTAAGAAATGAGCGAAGAAAAGGGGGGGTGGGTGTATAAAATTGTGGTCCTCTCAACTTAGAAGGTACATAAGCTAATTATACCATTTAAATGTCTAAACATTAAATAAACTGACTGGAATAAAAGTTAAAAATACAGTGGTTTATTGTTCCAAAACTAATATTTGGCCCATTTCTAACACTGAGTGTTAGAAATGGTCAAAATCTGCAAAGTTATCTTTTCCAGAGTATTCTGTAAATCCAAGACGAGTAGAACAAAATTACACCATGTATTTGTAGAAATGGGCCAAGCGGCATTTTTGGAACTAATGTCCCCTGAAATAACATTATATATTCATGTGTTTTTATGTTGTTTTTCTCCCTCCCCTCTCACCTCCCCCACCCTGAATACTGAATTTGAATCTATTAATTATTTTGTTTTCAAAATTACAAAGACGACTGAAATACGTCCAATTTGAGTTGAAAAATAGACGTGGCAATCAGAGCAATGTAAACAAATTAAATTCAAATACACGACGCAAATCAAATAGATAAGGTTGCATGTTTATGTGTTGCCATCTTGAAACTATCTCTCTCCGAATTACTGAAAAGTTCAATATCAATTTCTTTTATTAACAAGACTAATTCGAAGTGAAAGATGCGCTAGAGGCGCCCAAGGAACCCAAGACATGGAGCGTCCGCGCCGACCCCCGGACCGTACCGCCCGTACACCCTAAACCTCACCGCGCTTGATTCTTCTGAAGTTTTAGTTCTTCCTTCAGTCTCCGCGTAGACATGTTGTTTGCGGTTAGTGTGTTACACAATTTTATAATTTAAAATTAAAAACTATACAAATACTAGCTTACAGTAGGCTAGAAAACAATGTTATAAATCAGTTACAAAGAATTTTTAGAATCTCAGTTACTTATTCAGTCCTAGTGTAATAAAAAATTGTGCAGGGTGATTAAAAACCCCGTTGTAAACCTCTCAAATTTCACACCTGTACAGTTGCACACATGTACTGTCTGTACACAGTGAACTCTAAGTTGTACGCCTGAAAACTGTGATATAAAAATGAATGTAAGAATAGCAAAATGTGAAATGAGGAGTAAAAGCTTATAGGAGAGTTGAATTAATAGTTTGTAATCTACCAAGTTGTCCTCACCCTCTTCCATTCATAAAATTATGTTTAACCCCCCCCGAAGAAGAAGA